GTGCAGGTTCGTCAAGCACGGCCATCTGCTGTCAGAGCGCGATGAAACCGGTGTGACGGAGAGTGCCCTAACTAGATTCCTCCTCGCAACCCAGCGCACCGTAAATCGGTGCTCTATAGACCTCGTTCTCGTAAAAAAAAAAAGATAAAATTTTGGCATACGATTTTTGCGGAAGGGTCGCTCTCCAGCGCGATGGTTGAAAGAGCCTCGATACTTATTAGAGCCTTTTTTCCCTCCTCGGGGGGGGGTGTACTCATAGTCGTGCATGCCGTAGTCGTTAGACCATTGACCTCGCATCCCTACAAAGCCGGGACGGAGCACGCCGGGTTCTCACCGGACCAGGCTCTCACATCACCAAGCGCGAAGCGCCGTGAGATATTCGGCGAGTCGCATGAAGGGTGCGCTGCATCCTGCTAAGGGTTTTCGGCATCTTGTGCTTACTTCCTTGCGTACGGATGACAGCTGCGTATGACTTAATTTATTTTCTGGTGCTTTCACTTCCAGAGACAGTTGTAAGCACTGTGTAACTGCCTCGAGGGTGTTTGGCCATTTTAACACAACGTGGTGCGATCATCCCCCTTGCGCGGAGTGAGGGTTCTCCACCCCGCACAACATGATCTACTCTCCTCGGGGTGAAGGGAAAAAATGTCGCGCTTCGCGCTCCGCGGCTCATTTAATATATATATATCTATATATATTAGCAGTGAGTTCTCAAGCGTCAGCGGAGACTACGTGCAATTCTACTATTTCCCGAGAAGCAAACAGCGACATCTCCGCTGCGGGTAGCAACAAAACAGTCTGCAATCAAGATACATGTAGAAAGAAGGACAGGCGTCCAGACAACTTTCCACACACAAACGTCCGGTTGGTCGTGCAGGGAGAAAAAGCAGACCGAGCGTAGTTTACTTGTTCCACCGTTTGAGTTGCGTTGTTTCGCCGTTTGAGTTGCGTGCAGCGAGTCGAGGGCCGTTGGGCAGTAAATGATAACAAACTTGTACGCATCAAGACTCCGAGATGGTTAGAAGAACATGGATATGTGGAATATTGTGGAGTGAGCTACGCGTACAAGCTCGCAACAAAACTGCTCAAGGGGTATAACTGCTGGCACGGGATGAATGCCAAAATGTTGGACAAACGTCAATCAACTGAAAAACGTACGCTTGTGGGCCGGGCACCTTAGTCGAACGTCGACTACACTGGGTGCTCGGAAGGGCATCTCAGGGTGTCATTGTTGTCATTCACCGGTGTGGTTCGGAAGGGCATCTCAGGGTGTCATTGTTGCCGTTGAACCGGGGTGTCATCATTGTTATCCGCTGTGGACAATAAAGTGCATGGCGGGTTGGGCGCTCCACATATGCATACCACATGTATACAGGAGAAGCGAGAAAGTCTGCGTCCGTCTACCTTGCTCTCTTTGGTTGATACACAGAAAAGTTATCTACTGACTACAAGGCGCTTCGCGGCGTACCGCTTCGCGGTCGCTGTTACGCTCGTAGGTTGCATGGCGATGGCAAGTGTGGGCGGGTGCAGTTTTTAATGAGAGGAACGAAGTAGTCTAATACTTCTAGTTTTGAGTGTTGTGAAACAAATTGTTGTATGCTCATTTGTTCGAAGAACGGCGAACGAAGACAGACAACAGACGCACAATGAATTTATTTGAAGTTTGCGACGGGGCCGGAGGACAGAGAGAGTAAAAGAGAACAACACCACCGCAGAAAAAAGAAGCAGACGTCTACAAAAACATCGCATGTGTCCCACCACTTCACTACTAATGTCTATAAAATACCGGAAAATAAAATGTATGCGGCAGTCTACTCCACCCACCCACCCACGGATATCGAACGATGAGGAGGCTGAAAAGCTCAAGCCACGTGGTGTAGTGTGTATGTGTGTTTGATCGAGGAGGAGTGCAAAATAAAATATATAAAGGGAGGGGCAAAATCCCACAGACTGAGACAGTAGTTACTTCAGTACAGGCCCGGAGATAAGAAACGTCAAAATAATCGGGTCGAGGCTCAATCCCTTGTTCAGCTATCTATCTATGGGTACACGGAGAGGGGGGTGGGAGCTAGGAAGGAGCAGCGGTGGGGGGATGTTTCTTATTGGACACGTTCTCCCCCACCAACGCTTTACGTGTTGGGAGTATCGCGAGATCGCAGATCATGTCCCTTATTGGGACGTTTCCTGTGTTGTGGCCGAGATGTGAGCCGTGTTTCTTAGTGTTTTCCCCCTATTTTCGGTTAAAAGTTGAGAGCCTCATTTTCTTAACAGATTTTTCCGTAGAAATTGTGCGGGTCCTTACTATAATACTATAATACTATGCATACTGTTGTTGTGTATTGTCCCGCAGCAGTGCTACTACTGGTATATGCTCTCGCCAGAGGGTTTGGGGAGTCAGATGACCGTAGTACAAGTTCGTGAGTTGGTGCGTGTTTAAGGGATGATGCGGACCGTGTGTCCCGGTAGCCACTCTAACATAAAAGAACTGCTCGTATACGTCATACATGCTACGCATGCATGCAGCATTGCGTAGCTCACAGGCTACGCACATTCTCCGCAAAAAAAAAAGAAAAAAAGAGAGGAGCGAGATTCCAAGGGTGTGTTGGGTAGGGTACGGGTACGTTGGGTATGGGTACGGGTACTGTACCCAACGTACCCAGAGTTTGGGTACGGGTACGGGAGTCGTACCCAATGTACCCGGGTAACCCGTGTGGATGATGCGTGGGTATGGGTATTTTGGGTATGGGGACGGGCGTACCCAACGTAACCAGAATTGGGGTACGGGTACGAGAGTCATGCCCAACGTACCCAAACGTTGGGTACGGGTACATACCCGACATATGCCCTAATTGTACCCGGGAATGTACCCTACCCAACACACCCCAAGGGTGTGTTGGGTAGGGTACGGGTACGTTGGGTATGGGTACGGGCGTACCCAAAGTAACCAGAATTTGGGTACGGGTACGAGAGTCATACCCAACGTACCCAAACGTTGGGTACGGGTACATACCCGACAAATACCCAAATTGTACCCGGGTATGCACCTTATCCAACACACCCTTGCAAGATGCGGACCCACAAAATCTGCCGCTGCACGCGCGAGCTCGAGCCACTGTCGGAGGGTTTCTTCTCCTTCCTTACTTTGAATAGTGAAGGTGTCCGGCTTAGTGCCGGTGAAATTTCGGCGCACACCCCTGCACGAAACAGGGACCTCTACTAATACTGCAGTGCGGTCGGTATGTGTTTTTTTTTTTTCTCCCACCATTGGACTCTGTCGTCTACCCCTCTGGCCCCTGTCCTCCACTTCTACCAGCTAGACGACCCAACCGGAGTCACATGGGAGGGGGGGGTTGGGCCCCCTGGACCCCCCCCTCCTGCGGTTCCTGCCTGAGATGTTTTTATCGCGAGAAGGGTACAGCAATCCCTTCCCTCGCGATTTATGAAGTCGATCAACTTTACTAACAACGAGCTTGCAGCGCGTCGCTTCCAACGGACACCAGGATTTAATTAGCGAGAAAACACCCACTCTGCGGGACTCGAACCCTTGACCTGGCCCTTAACAGGCTGTGAGGCTACCCACTAGACCACCGGGGCGACCGTGTAGCCAGAGGTATTTAATTGCAAAAAAAACACTTCTTCCTCCATGAAACGGAGGAACAAACAACATACTCATCATGTTTTTTTTTCTCGGGCGGGTGTACAGTAGTAGCCCCCCCTACTTTTCGCCGAGATCGAAAGGGAGACGTATTACAGCAGTTAGAGTACTTCGTCTCATGTCACGAGGAGAGTTGGTGGCTTGGTTGCCGTGGGTGGCAACAAGGGTGTGTAGCGTGCAGCCAGCGAACACCCACAATTCAGTCACCCGCATGCGGAATGTATTTGTTTGTTGTTTCTCACATAAGCTCTAGACTATAGTCTAGTCCACAAAGATTGGGGAGCCCGTGGTCTCAAAACCCGGCACACACGACGCGGCGGGGAAACAAAACAAAAATAGGGTACAAACCACTCGGAAATGTATGGACGGTCTGCAATGTCAAGAAATCAGGGCGTGATTGGTGGATCCATTGTAGATGTCGGAGACGCAACTTTCTGCCCTCGCTAGCGCTGCACGCAGCCCGCCCCGAGAGCGCGCGGCACGCCGGGAGAGCCCTCGCAACACAGGGCTATCGGTAGATGCAAGTTTCGCTTCGAGGCGAGGTCTAAGGGCGGAGAAACCGCGAAAAAAGGGCTCTAGGCTCACGACGGTATCAGGATGCCCTTTCCTGCGATCTCGTGAGCCCTCAGCCCGTAGCAAATCCATCTAAAGGTCTATGTTGATCATGGGATAGAATGAATAGACTACTGTATGCTGCCCAACGCTTTTTAGAAAGACTAAACATTTTTATCGCGAACGGGCATTCTTTCTGTGCTTAGACCATTTATTTTTCCTAACAAAGGCCGCCGTACAACATTCGCACCGATCTGCTCTTGGCGCTCCCGCTCATCACCACAACAGAGAACACACAGCGGACAGCGAATGCTCTCTAACCCTTGTACGTAGGTATGATAGACAGCCCCCGGCCGCTGAGTTTCACACAGACCTGAGCGAGGTGTGGATAATTAGTTGCCAACAAATGAATCTGGTAGACGATGGTGTCGTGGCTGAGCGTCTCGAACTGGTTGTCTGGGAGATCATCGCCGGCGCTGAGGCCGGCTAGGTAGAGCACCGGCGCCCAGGTCAAGCACAAGCGCATTCTTGATTTTTTTTTTGTCCGCAGCACAACCTGCTGCTCTCCTCTCTCGCTCACTCTCCTCCACTGCCGCTCTTCGTATCTCCGGTGTGCGAATCGCTCTACGCTTCTCGTGGAGAGCGGCCTAATCCCTGCTCTACGTACTTGTTGTATGTCACATGGCGAGAACCTTAATCCCGCCAGAACCTCCGGCAGGTTCTACTAAATTATTCTGTTCTTTGTGCTTTGCGGCGGCCCGAAACCCGCGCGGCGGTGAGGAGAAGCAGCAGCTGCGCTCTCTTTCGCCGCCACCCGCGCCAAGCCAAGGACTTTCTCGCCTCTGCACCGTACCAAGTGATGCCCGCAGCAACAGCTCATAAGGTATCTGCCTCTAACCACAAGCTGTATCACGAGGCCCTCAGGTTCACGACCATCTACGTCTACTTGGACTTGGCGTACGCGACGCTGCTCCTGGCGGCAGCGCTGCATCTTTGCGGGGTGCCTGTGGGTCTGATCCTGGGGCTGGATGTGCCGCTCAAGAAATCAGAGGCTGGGAGAGAAGGGGGATTGGTGCGATCGGGGGCCCTGAGCTTAGCCACTGGCGGGGTGATGGGTCTCCTGGTTGGTGTTATGGTGAGCCTCCCTCCGAGTACAGCGGCACACAGCGCACCAAGTACTACGACTGCTGTACTGCCTCGAGTGTTCCCACAACCACCTCGCTCCCCTTGTCGTGACCCGAACCTTTGGCGTCGCACCTTCTCTTAGAGCGGCGACGCTCTCGTCAGAGGACCCGCGTTTTCCTGGAGTAAACACTACCATCTACATGGCGTCATAAAGGAGAGCACACACTCTGCAGCAAGTAGATAAACGTTTAGACTAGTGCGGCTGAGCTGTTCCCCCGCTGTCAGCGTGAACCTACGATTCGCCAGGGAGCGTTCCACGACACTACAGCAGTACACGAACAGCGGTAGCCTCCCTGATATTCATGTGTTATGGTCGTAGTGTTGATCCCGTTTGTATCAGGTTGCGGCTGCGATTGCGACTGCAGAGCTGCCGACTTGTATTTATTCCAACCCTGCACCAGTACCAGTGATGGAGCCAGCGTGCCAAACTATTATAATACTGCCTGCCGCCGTTTGATGCTCTGTGTGCGGGACGCAAGGCTTGCTCCTGTTGAAAGCAGCAGTAGAGCTCAGCTGGGGTGGCCGTACGCCGCTCGAACATAGGGTGCCTTGACCCTCGACCCGTGGTTGAAACTGTAGCATCGGCCTCCCGCGCCGCGAGTCACAAGCCTCCCTCGCCTTTCGACCGAACCGTTCGTGCGTGCTCGATTCTACGGTTGCTATGTGAGACTGGTGTTGCCTGCCGCATGCATGCACGGCTTGAAACGTTTTGTTCTTCGCACGACGTGGCCCGGCAGGTTCGAGGGTGCTGTCGCCTCGACAAGAGCCAGGGGTGCGTGGTAACCAACTGGCACGACCTGCTCAAGTACACGCACATGGGCAGGACAATAACCGCAGCGATGTGTGGGGTGAGTCAACACTTGCAGTCCCGCAGCAGCCGGAATACATGTCTAGATGCGCCTCGAACTAGTTGCAGCGAACACAGTTAGCGCCTGGCAGACTGCGACTACGGGGCGCGTTCATGCATGAGCGCGATGAGTTCCAAGGATGTAAGTCATGATTATACACCGCAACAGTTGCTGCGAGAGGATAGGGGATCCTGTTCGAGAAAAGCCTTCCCCGGAATTCACTTCTAAACGGCCCCATGGTTCGATATGCGTGCCGGGGGGGTTCGATATAGATGTCGTCAATGGCGGCCTGTCTTGTTTGGGAGGGCGACGACTCCTCACGACCACTTGCTGCAGGAGGGGAATGGGGGCTATACCCATAGGGCGCGTAAACCATGTGGTGAAAATGATATTTTAGTTGCGAGTTCGAAGTTGTTTCGATGTTGGAGCTTGAAGGTTTGTTTCTTATTCTTGATCGAGCCTCGCATTTGCGGTCATCAGCCGCTGCTTTGTTCGAGACCAAATACTTGTAGCAAGACGGACGTCGTGTCCTTACCGTGGCGAGTGTGGTGATGGATACGCTCACAGCTGTACAGCTATGCATATCTCTTGTTGTTTGGAACGAACCTCGTGTTTCCGTCCCACTCATCCCTCGTACCCGACTGCGTGAAAATTTGGGTGTCGTGGGTGCAGGCCACACCACGCCAACGTTACTGTGAGAAGTATTTGTGTGTCCGTGTGCTTTCTTCGGGGGGCGGGGGCCGAGGGAAGACATGCTTCCAAACGCGTTCGGACACCAGAACCCCGGGGTGAAGACATGAGCGCTCGGGACAAGAGGGGTAGCACCATGGTCTAAGCGGCGAACAAGTTTACCAGTAAAGGGTCAAGGACCTACCCACCTATTGTGGCTGGTAGGGACGATGGTGTGTCTCGCCTGGCGCGGGTCATGTCGATTCAAAAGATTTTGCTTTAGCTCCGACCTGCAACGCTCTTGCTCCTACCCCGTGTCGACGACATCTGACTACCGGCCTGGCTCTGCTCTCGTCCAGGTCTTGACATGGCGAGGGCTAGGCTCCTTGAAGGACTTCCAGACCCCGGAGGGTGGGGTAGGACTAGTCTCAGCCGTGCTCATCACCGCCGCGGTCTTGAGCTTGGCGGCGGCAGCGTCCATGAACTTCCTGCACTTCAGAGTGAGAACGGCACACGAAACGACCGTGTCGGCGGAGGTTGAGTTGCCATCAGCAGTACATATATTTTACCAAAGTTCGCGCTGGCTGACGTCGTGTTCAGGGATACATATGTCGCCGTCCTCTCTCGCACCTGTGTCGCGTCTACACCAGAAGCTTTTGTTGTCGCATTCTACCGACGAGGGTCACTCATGGTGACAAGGGCCTTTGTTTGTTTGCTTGTGAAATTTATATGCATACCCGCTGTTTGCGGACAGAAAAAAAGTTATCCCTCAATGATAAAACAAGAGTATTGGAGGAGGCACGGGGAGGTTAAGAACAAAATGGACTCCGAACGGCTTTCAAACGCGAGAGCACATTCCCACCAAAAGCACCCACAGCAGCCGCAAACCAGGTTTCCTGTTGCATGGTGTCTAAACTAGCCTGAGGTATTCTTGGTGGTGAGAGCCAACCAGACTTTCTGTTACCTGTGGACTCGAATACAACTAGAGATCAATGTCGAGCGTCAAGCGATCGTTGTGGGGTGAACGTTCAAAATGCAGAAACGGCACTCACTGGCTCACAATTATTTCTTCCACCGGACCTCCGCCCCGCCCACCCATCCCCCGTCACCGTTCCAGATGAAGGTCGTGCTGACGGAGTACGCCAAGCTCAAGCGCACACGACTCATGCCGGCCACCGGTGGCTCTAGTTGTACGCGTCATCGTTACTAACATCGTCGGAGGCACAAACAGCAGTTCAAGCAAAGGGGGATTGTTAGCCTCCGTAAACAGGCTGTGGATGGATGTTGACCGAAAATTACCTCCACCGAGGAAGATCTGACTCGTTTAACGCCCTCCAGTGCAGCCCTCTATTCCCCTCTATGTTAGTCTAGCCACCCATTTCTCGATTGCCGACAAGGAAAGTACGGGGAGACAGACGTGTGCCGTGGTTCAGCCACCATGGATGTTTTTTTTTTTCGCGGCCAGAGTGAGAAGGAATCTTGCGTCAACACTGTTGATACATCAGGGACTTGTTGTGCGGATGCCTCGCAGCATCAGAGGAACTTGTGCGTGTGCGTTAGGGCGTTGGAACTGGGTAGTGGAATGAGAGGCACACTCGGTTGGTGGAGTACAGGGATGGATGGATCCATCGAAAGCATCACGACAGGGAAAATCGCTGCACGTTTGGGTTGAGCCTTGTAGGACTGTGTAGAACACGCGTAGAGTACCGATAAGACATACTGTTTGGTTTTGTGTTTGGACGGTTACAAATATATCGGAGATAGCACAGCGGCCAGTGCTGCTGCTGGTGCTGCTGGTGCTGTGAACATTTTTGGTTTGTGCCCGAAACGTACCAAGTGGGTAGCCTCTGTGTACCAAGGTAATAGATTTCTGTAGGTACCTGATCTTGTACGGCAACGAGCGATGTCAGCAATGCAGTCCAACAAAACGCCTCGGGTGACTAAAGTGTATTCCCAAGCTCGTCCCAAGCACGGTCGAGCTTGGGCCTCTCTCGGCCAAGCATTAATTTTTCATCTTGTGTCGTAATGTTTTTGCATAGCTCCGCCCTTCGACCGGTTTGGTGTTAACACAGAACGTGGCAGGTTCATTGCAGCAAGAGCAGGGGTGCCAGCGCGCCAGCTGACATTCGGCCGCCGACCTAGCTTACACAAGGAGAAACAAACACAAGAAAACAGAGACCCGCACAAGGCCACAGAAAAACAACCATTCACCATGTGGAAGAAGAGGCCTGCTTGTTCGCATGCACCGTCGAGCCATGAAAAATAAATCATCCGCCCTGTTGGGAGATGACACACCCTGCTATGGTTGCCATCCATTAAAAACAGAACACTTTCCAACCCAAAGCAAGCTTCAGTGTCACCGACGGAACAGAAAAATATTGCAATTTGGTCGCAGTGTGTGATTTCGATACCCCCACCCGTTTTTTTCGCGTTGACAGCAGGTAGGTGCTGCTGACTGAGCAGTTCGCCGGGGCGGGGCGACCTCCTCCTTATGGCCGGCGAATTTCTCTGCTGGTGTACTGTAACGACACACCTTTATTTAATGCAACGCACCAGTGTGTATCTTTTCCATATTTATTTGTATCTGTCAACCGTTAGTGATCGTTCCACAACAACGCAGCCAGCCGTCTACAGTTGTATGCGGGTGTGGGAAGCGTTCCCCGTTCTTAGAGTTGTGAATCGGTACGAAAAAACGATATATTTTACATCGGCTGCGCAGCAGCCGATATAACGATATTTTCTCCGATATATCGCCTACGGCGATA